GAGGTAATTTTTCGTCCCAGTCATCCTGGCTTGGCTTAATGTAGTGCCTAAGCAAGTGCCTCACTACCTTGATCATTTGTTCCGCCTGTCCATTTGACTCAAGGTGATTCCCTGATGTCATTTGCAGTCTGGTTCCCATCTGTTGGGCAGTGTTCTGCCACAATTCGCTAGTAAAGTGAACATCCCTATCACTGACTATGGACTTAGGTAAACCAAAATCCCGTACCCAGTTATCCATAAACAGTCTGATGACGTAGTCAGTCTCGACAGTTTCAGGCATAACAATCAGTCTTGCATACTTAGAAAAACGATCTACTATAACAAAGAAAAACGATCTACTATAACAAAGATGTGTCGTTTCCCAGACCTGCTAGTCACAAGAGTATCCATGAAGTCCATGGACACACTCTGACTAGGACCTTCAGGAATCGGCAAGGGCTTGATGAGCCCAAGCGGCGCCTGAGTCCTGGGTTTGTCCCGTTGACAAACCTGGCAGGTTTCGACATACTTCTTGGCATCTTCCATCATAGAAGGCCACCATAATTTTTGTACCAAGTTAGCTGACGTTTTCCTATAACCGAAATGGCCAGTTGCATAATGACACTCACCTAAAAATAAACTACGCAAAGACTCTTTATTTGGAACACACAGTCTTGTATTCCCTGCCTTTTCAAGAAACAGCAAGCTGCCTACCATTGTAAATTCATCCAAAGTCGCTTTGTCCTTCGCTTGGAATTTACGGATGATCTCAGGCATAAATGGATCTTGCTGATAGGCTTCCACCAATGATCGAGTTAGATCGTGATATGCCAAATTCAATTACTAATGCGCCCAGATAGTCTGCCCGACGTGATAGCGCATCAGCTACTTTGTTGTACTCTCCCTTGATTGGATCAAGTTGATAGTCATACATGTCTATCACTTGAATCCACCGCTTGAGTGCGTTAGAGAGTACAGGCTATGTTTTGATCTAGCGCAAGGTCTCGTGGTCAGATCTCACATAGAAGAATCTGCCTAGGAGATGGTGTCTACAGTGGACCAGCGCTCGGTAAGGAGCATAGAGCTCACGCTCATAAGTAGACCTGGCTAGTTTCAAAAATGGCATCTTTTTACTCATATACTCAATCGGTCTCAACTTTGGTCCCTCCTTTTGCACAAGGACCGCGCCTATGCCTGTCGTCTGTGGTCACAACAAATGGCTTATCAAGATTCGGAAGTTTGAGGACCTCGTAGTGTGTCAGAGCATACCTCACACTCTCCAGTCCACTCCCAAGGGGTGTCAAGTCGAGTTAGATCTGTTAATGGGGAAGCTATAGTTCTTAACAAACGGATGATAATAGGCCGTCATCCCCAAAAACGATCGGACCTCGGTAACAGTCTGAGGTCTAGGCCACCCCCCAGCATACTTTGGCATCGTCCGACCTCAACCCATCTGTGGAGATTTCATGACCCAAGTACAAGATCTTGGTGCGACCGAACTCGCATTTCTCTAAGTTTACCTTGTACTGGTGCTGTCTCAGAAGTCCTAGCACTATTTTGAAGTGCTCAGCGTGCTCCTCTTCAATCTTTCTAAAGATAAGGATATCGTTGAGGTACACAACGATAAACTTGTCTAAGTACTCATGAAATATGCTATTCATGGCGTGCTGGAATGTCCTAGGGGCATTGCATAGGCCAAAGGGCATCACCACAAACTCGTACAGACCGTACCTGGTCTGAAAGGCGGTTTTGTGTTGGTCCTAAGGTCTAATGGTAATTTGATGGTATCTGGACTTCAGTTCTATCTTTGTAAAGTACCTGCATCCTTGCACTCTATCCAATAGGCCGTCAATGCGGGGTAGGCGCTCCACGTTCTTAACGGTGATGGCATTGAGGCCCCTACAGTCAATGCACATCCTCGGTGTACCTCCCTTCTTAAGAACAAATAAAATTGGCGCACCGTAAGAGGAAGTACTAGGCCGAATCCATCCCTTCTCTGTGAGCTCTTTGAGCTGGCGGCGAAACTCGTCCAACTCCGCGGGAGACATCCTATAGATGCGTCCTCTAGGTACCTTACTACCCGAGACAACTTCTATTGCATGGACCACCTCCCTTTCAACCACTCCTGTGGGCTCCTTAAAAAGGTCAGGATACTGAGCAACGACTGATTCAATTTATGAGGGTGTTTTTACGACCTCCCCTTTCTCAGAGACAAAGACTACATACATGCCCTCCTCGCGATTCTGCTTTTAGTAGTTATAGAAAGAGGAGGCACACATGCAGCCGTAGTTTTCCACTAGACTGCTAGCTTTAAACTTTTGCAGTCTAACGGTTCTACCGTTGGGCGGCTTGTGTATCAACACCTTCCTATCCCAACCAAACTGAAGGTTGAGCAACCTCGAGGTAGTACATGCCTAGCAACATATCAAAAGGCAGTTCGTCGCTAACGAGGAATGAGATTTTGTGTCTCACTTCCCCTCCTCCATAAGAGAAGGAACACACTGCCATTTGGTGCTTGTTGGCTAGCGTAGAAGCTACAATTTTGCTAAGCCGCTGCACTTTGTCCCCTAAGCGCAGTCTGTCCACACAAGCACAACTAATGAAATTTCGTGTAGAGCCTATGTCTACGAAGGCACTCACTTTGCGGCCACCTACATTGCCCTCTACCACGAAATGTTCACCCTTAGGACCTCTACTAATCATCACCCAAGCATCCCTGGGGTCCTTCGCTGACCACTCAGACTGTAACTCTTCTAGGGACTCAGGCACATCTATCAAACAGAGCGTCGGTAGGTCTGAATGTGTCTGCGGGGCGATGTATGGGTCACTAGCCTTGGCCAACACCTGAAGTGGGGAAGGCAACATTACCACTTCAACGCGAGTACGAGCGGCTAACACTCCTACTGCTCTGAGGTGTTTCCCTGCGAAGTGCTCGCAAAAACACTGCCAGGGTTCGAGGATAAGCCCACTACCGTTGGAGCGGCTACCATCGTGGTGACCTTCTTGCCTTGGCAAATTCTTGACGTGTGGCCATAATTGCCACAGTTCATGCATATGCCCCTAGCAACCCGGTCCCTCCACACCTCACAATCTAAACCAAGTTTTACCCAAGCGGGTGTTCCTTGGTCCCCCTGACCCGTAGACCGACCTACCTTCTGCTTCTCGGTCCCCCTAGCTTTTTCTTTGATGGGCGCCACTACTCCCCCATCCGAAGTCTCATTGGCCCCACCAAGCTCTGTCTCATCCCCAATGTCTGAGAAGTCGTCAATTTCAGTCGTCTAACCATCATGGTTGACGAACATTAGTTGACCTTTTTTCTTTCAATCCTGGGGAAGTCTCTTCTTCCTACCATCTCTTTGACTCTGATGCGCGGACCCATGCTTTGCCTCTATATCTAAGTCTTTATTGATGAAAGAGGTGAAGTTATGTTCGTTGACGTAGGCCTCGTCCACCAGTTTATTTTTGACATCTAAGGGTAGACATCTCAAATAATCCGTGAGGAGTACCTGCTGGTCGTAGCGCACACCAGGTACCACGTGCAGACGTTCTACGGTGTCTGTGAGCTCGCGGACATTCTTGTACCTTTTGGCATAAAGATTATTGATCGCGCCGGTGGCCTTCTGAGCCCCTTGCGGGGCATACCACCTATTGTCCATACGAAGTCCTCCAATGTCTGGGCCTAGGCCCAGGCATCAAAATTTTGACCGTAGCCCTGTTGCTGCACTAAGCCATTTCACCAACGTTTTGTCGATCCCTCTAAAAAGGAGGCAACCGCTATAACTTCTTGCTCTAGCCTTGTGAGTTTGTCCCTCACACAAGTAGGCACAATCCTCACACAGGTATCCAAATCCTCATCCTTCTTCCTGTCGCCAGAAAAGGGTTTAGGACTCAGCAAGGGTATCTTGGGCATCCACTACATAGGTTGGATCTGCCCAGGCGATTGCTGCAGTGGCTTCATAGCCACTGACACAGGTTGCTGCGTGTTAACCTGAGCCTGTCCAGACCTTGGCACCGTAGCTGCCACCGTCCTCGATGGTACAGAAGAAGAGAGTTGGCTACTTGAGAGAGGAATACCATACATAGATGAGAAAGAGGGCCCTACAGGCGACGACGTCACTGAGGGACCCGTTGTAGGGCCAAACCCCGGTAGACTTTCGAGCCTTGGTCGACCCCACTGCGGGTCCCACTTGGCTCGGCCCGTCCACGCTCATGCTCGAGGCGCGGGCCGTTCGTCCCAGGGTCACCCCCACCTAGTGCTTGGAGATGGATGAGGGTGGGCCATCGCGCGAGAGAGCTTTGACATTGGGGATGTAGCTCAACCCTCACGCCGGGTGGTAGTCTCGCTGGTTATTCCATAGCGCTGATTTTTTTTTTTTATTCTTGGTTGGGTTCTCAAGCAATTGCTCCTTCCGATACGCAGGCAGTCCAGGGGTTCTTTGAGAGTTTTTATTCTCTTGTGCGCAGGCTAAGTGTCATCCTTAGGTCGCGCACCATTTCCTTAAGCATTGCAAGTCTACGGCCTCATCGGGGTGCGGCGGTGTCGTCCTCCCCCTCGCCTCTATGCACCCCTCGAGTCTCATGCATTTCATCTATCCTTATTGACGCAGGCTCCTTAGTCTTTTCGGGGCCTTTACATGCATGAACATGCAACTTCACATTCCGGTTTTCATTTACACATCCAAGTCACAAGGCATAATTGTCACTCCCATGCATCGGTTTTACGCTAAGGACCCGTAGCCCCTTTGGCCTCTCTTCCTTTTCCCTTTGCCGCCCGGTTTCTCCCGGCCCCATCCCGCTTGACGCATGCCAAGCCTTCACTTACCTGCACAATCCCACACAAGGCAAAATTCGATACAATCCCCGGTTGGGGGTCAACACATAACCCTTCCCGCACGCCTAACTTTCCTTTTCTCTTCCGCTTCTCTTCGTGCTCAATCAATCCACTCTCTTCTCGTAGTCATGCAGCCGAGGAAATGGTTGAGTCAAACTGCCCTTGCTTTCAATTATACTTTTTCCCAGACTTCGTCTCCTCGCAATCTTTCAAATGTCCCTTCCTTTTTCCTTCTTGGCGGCACAAGGACCCGGCTACCCTTCCCTTGCCCTCTTTTTCCACCAAGTGGGGCCTGATTTTCCTTTTACCGTTTGTCCCCTGGCAATGTAACAAATGAGGGAAGAACGGTTAGTCATATGCCAAATGTGAGGAAGGGGGAGAGAGAGCAAGATGAAGAGGGAGAGAGAGTGAGAGGGAGAGTGAGGGGCAGAGAGAGGGAGATATATATATATATATGTAGAGAGAGAGAGAAAGAGACTTCTAGTCCTAATCAAATCATCACACCGTAGTAGCAGCCAAATGTCGGTCACCCATCCCATAGTAGTAGCAGCCAAATGCCGGTCACCCATCCCATGGTAGTAGCAGCCAAATGCCGATCACCCATCCCATAGCGAAAGAGTCACAAAGTGTTGAAAACGGAATACTACCCATACACATGAACTTGACAAAGTGAAGGTTAAACTAACGAAAGCACATGCGCACGAGTGAAAGAGCAACCAAGTGATGAAAACGGAACACTACCATACACATGAACTTGACAAGGTGAAGTTTGAACTAACGAAAGCACATGCACATGAGTGAAAGAGCAACCAAGTGATGAAA